CCCCCCCCCCTTCAGAATAAAAGGAGCTAACTAACTTCTGAGAAGGTCAGAGTGTAAAATATTTGGTCCTATCCACTTTAAATACTGTTCAAATACCTTTGAAAAATGTTTTTCCCCTTTCTGTGTTCGGTTTCCTAACCCTTCATTAAGAGAAATCAAGCTGCAGTTTTGGCTTTCACATTTTTCCATTCAAATATTTATTTTATGCCCTTGTTCAGGAATGTGGTGTTCTTTTTCCCTGGTCCCTTTTTTTTCTATGCTTTTTGGAATTATGTGTCATTTGTGCATTTTCCTGGCATTCAGTCACATCACAGAACTCTTGTTTTAACACTGTTGGTTGTGCTGCCTTCCTGTAGGTACCTTAGGAATGTGCTCAGGGAGACATTGCAGCTCCTCGTGCTGGGAGCAAAACACGATTATTTTCTCATTACAAAACGAAGAGTTTCCATCCTATTCTAGACTTCAGGAAATTAAATGTGTTTCTCCACAGAATTAATTATCACCTACTAACAATCAATGCAATTATCCCTTCTCTCCTTCAACATGACTTGTTCTTTGTAGTATGCAGTTGAGTAACTCTCTCTAGGGAAATATTCCTGCTATTCCTTCTGGGGCGGTGGCTCTTCAAGCATTTAGTCTCAGCTTTTGGTACAGCTCCTGTATCCCTCACATATTACATGTTACTGAGCAGCAGCAGGAGTTAGAGGCTTGCATTCATTTCAAAAAGCAATATCACAATTCTGCATAAATCCAAGACATTAGAAGCATCTGTAGCTCTACATCTGTCTCTTTATATATTGCACCCACAAACAGTACCTTTTTTCTTCCCTTAGAAAGTAGATTTGATTTTTAGAAGTATGTCTGGACACATCCTGAGCGCGTAAGCCTGTTCAATGGGAAGATGGCTGCAGCTTTGTTCCTGTGTATCACCCTCACAGAAATGCATCTGTGAATTCTGCTTCTTGTACCTGGCCTGTCCATCATCCTGCTGGATGGAAGATTCCCACAGTGCTTACAGGTGTTCTTACTGTTGCGAATGTTTTCGCAATGCCATCCTCAAAAGCACTGGAATGCTCTATTGATGGAGCCTACTCATCCCTTTCTAGAAAAAAAAACGAAGTTCAGAGTGTGTGTGTGTGTGTAAGACATCTGCTCTAAATCCTCTAAGGAGGAATTTTGTCCTCTGTAACCTTCCTGCGTGCTCAGCGATGGTATGACAATTCCAGTGATGAGAATGAGAAGCATACAAGTGGTGTTTCAGTTGTAAAGCAGAGAAGATCCCTGAAAATTCACCAAGATAAAAAACCAGCGAACTTTAGCTTAGTTTTTCATGAACGCTTAGCTTTTTAGAAAAGCAATTTTAGGACAGCTAGGAGGATACCCTTCGTAAGGAAAGGCAAGACTTGCATATCAAATACAACCTGACTTATATCAAATATTGAAATTGAATACTCAATTCTTTGCAGCTATTTAATTTTTTTCTGAAATTCTTTTTTGTGTTCTGATTTAATGCTTAGAACACTTTTTAGTATGTATTGACTGTCTGCTGAGGTCTCTGCTGACACAGCTCTTTCACATGATGCAGTGCTGGAGAAAAGCTGATGAGTCTTTCTTTATGAGCTCTGACATATTAATTAGCAAAATGGTCAAAAAAGCTTTCCTATTTTTATTTTAATGTCACTAGACCATGGTTTTGGCTGGGGTTATGTTTTGAGACAAGCTGAGTAAGGTCTTATTTTCTTGCTGGCTGCAATGTGAGGAACATGTGGCTGGGCGATGGATTAGTACCAGCAAGGCCGAGTGATACAGAGTAGCTCTGCTACCAAGCTAGATTTGAGTTAATGCTTTATGGTTAAACCACAGCTTATGTCTAGAGATGGGGTTAGGACTTGAGTAGGAAAAGGCCCATTGGGATAGTTTAAAGGATGCCTCTGTCAGGTTCTGCCCCTTACTGTTAATTTTGATGACTGTGCAGTTTCCAGGTTGCTGTTCAGCCTATAGGTAGGACTCGTGTTCTGGCAAAGAAAGCTTAAAGAGGTGGGTGTACAGCTCAATCCTGCAAGGTCAGGTTTGATGAGGCCTGAGTGCTGTCACATCTGGTAGACCTCCAGTTTGTGCTGTTTCATGTGTACGTAACTGGGTTGGGATTAAATGGTCATTCCAATTAGAAGTGGAGATAGTTTGGAATAAGGCAGGTTAAAGATCTTAGTGTTTCTCTGCATCATTTAATGCCAGGATGTATTCTGCATTAAATGCATTTTACTGAGGTTTTGTTTAGGCTGAGGATGAGGATTAAGATTAGGGTTTAGGACACAGGAGTGGCTAAAAAGTTAGGTTTATTGGGAAGTTTTATATGACCCACTGCAATAGGGTATGAAAAGTACAAAAAATTAAGCTTCGTTACCTTCAGAATAGGCTCTTCATCCTGCTGCAAAAGCCATGGTTGCATTGGTAGGTAAAATAAGTCTATGAGATGCTCAGGTTGCATCTACAAAAGTGTAAGCTCAATGTCCCATTTGGCTTTAAAGCTGAGTGACACGGGATGATCCCCATCTGTGCTCTGAGCCTCCACTGTAAGATGGCTTCAGGTTGCCTCAAGAAGCCATACCTGGCGTATCTTGACTCCAGAGGCATTTCTAGGATGTGTTTGTGTGAGCAGAAGGGCTCTTCTGACTTTTGTAGTGTAGATGATTACATTCTAATAAATGCAGGTGTGCCCAGACACTGCTAAATTTGCAAATATAAACATAACCTGTGATTTTAAGCACTCCAGTGTAGTTTTTCACAGGGACAAAATAGAGTTTGGTGCAGGCAGCATTCAGTGTGTTAAAGTTTATTCTGGTAAAAGTGTGAATAATAACTAGGCTAAGCTTACTGCTGCAACTTCAGTTTAGACTTGGAAGGGCAGAGAAAACTGGAAAATGTATTTATTTTCTTTTAGCCCAAGAAATTATGCAAAGATCAAGCTATTAGAACACCAGCAAAATCCAGTGCTTATGTAGCACAAAAGTCTTTATTTTAATCAAGGATGCCAGTGGGGGTTAATAGTGGGGTTAGGAAAGACTACAGAAAGCTCAGTGCGTGCTGCTGGGCTTGTTTGAGACTGGTGCCACTGTAGTAAGTTTGACTTCTGGTTTGATTCTGATTTGCAGGTAACACAATTATGTTGAAGAGGTGCATAGGGAAGTGCTGTTCTCCTCTCCTCATGCCAGATCTTGTAATTTTATTAAACAAACCTTCTTGCTGCTGTAGATGTCATTAAAGCTGAGCTTTTCAAAGGGGGCCATCGGGTTTAGAACTGAGTTCAAGAGGATTTATATAATAACTAGCTCCACATAGAAAAGACTCATGTAAATGGCTGAGCTGCCTGGTGTATGCAAGTGAAGTGCCTGTCCAAACAAGGACCTTGCCACTAACTGAAACCATATAGCCTATAGAATCTGACACTTATCTTTGCATTTGTGAGAGGAGAAAAAAGGGTTGATTTTAGTTCATTTTATTTCTCTTTGAGCATAAGAGCCTAGTACTAGGCTGCATCAATTGTTCTTTCAAGTGTGA